GAAATTCTTGCGGAGAGAAGCTAAATAAGAATGAGTTGTGGGTGGATGATGAGGATGATGATGCCTCCGGGATGGAAGAAGTTGCTTTTTTGCTTGTCTTGTTCAGCTTAGTTGGGGAAGTGCAAATTCGCCTTCTTCGAAGCCAAAGGGAAAAGTGCCAGAGTCTGTTTCAGTTCTTACTTCACCGCCTTCCCAATGTGCGCTCCGCTTCCATCAGCCGGTTATTATAGTATGTAGTACTCATAGAGACATGATAGTATCAAATGAGCCTCACAGACGCTTTAGGCTATATAGGCGCTAATAATCTTATCTTACATATGAGCTCATTCACTCAATGACAATTCAGTGTTGTGCGCACAGCAGAAGGTCCATTAAAGAACAAACAAAGCAAACGAGAATAATTACAGTGCCATTCAGATATGTTCTATTGACAGTCTCAAAGAAAGGCGCTCATCAACCATAACATGGATATACAAGCGAGAAGAGAAAAAGTTAGGGGTAAAAAAGAAGGCGATGAAGCAGCAGAAATCTTAACAATGAATGAGGAATCGCAAACACCAGAGAACGCATCAAACAACTGACTCGGAAAAGAAGGGGGTATGATGGACATGATATGGTAGAGAACAGGTATCACACTCGTTTACAGATTCCGTCATGGAAAAGTGACTAACAGCCCAAGCGTACAGGGCAGGCATATCGAAAGCAAGGTTCGGATACAAACGATCTGAGGGCAAAAATGGAAAGGGAAAGCCTGGGCTCTCGGGTGAAGAGCTCAAGCTGCTGTGGTCTCCGAAGCAGCGACCTTCTCATCCAGAACGGGCTTCCTCATGATGGCATCTTGACCAGTCATTCTTCGCCCCAGCGCGCGTTCAACCTTTGCACCAAGGGCCAGCTTGCTAAGGTTGTCACTTTTCTCTGGTGTAGGGACGAAGCGTTGCTTCAGAAGTGGTTTGTTCTCTAGACGCTCGAGCCCATCGCGCAGGTGATTGAATTCAGCCAGTCTGGGATCACCACTAGGTAGGCTTCCGATAGTCTGTTCCGATGGTGCAAGTGATGGAGAACCGCTCACGGTTGAAAATCTCTTGGACGTGCGATTCTGCGCCGGGTTAGACGACTGTCACGAGGTAATACAACACGCAGAATGGAAAGACGTAGAGGAACTTACAGATTTGGCCATGATAGGTCGCTCCGAGTCCAATGAGGTTTGTCTGGCCATCCTGATGGTATAGATATTGGTGGTTTGAATTGCGGGTTGATTGATTGAGGGAGTAGGGTACTAGTGTATTGCACTTCTCGGTCGAAAAGAGGAAGACTTGCAAGATCGCGCTATTTTCCCTGAATGCCGCGCGAGTTAGTCAAGTAGACTGGAAACAGACGAATAGATATGACTTGTCGGGATAAGAGGGGGGATGGGGGAAGAGAGAGAGGAAGGGGAAAAAAATATAGCTGATTATCATTATTGATAGCACAAACTCATAAAGGGACGGCAAGACTCCGGTACGGATGCTTTAATTGAATGAACAAGACAGTAGTGGTAAGGATCCCATACCTAATAATAATCTAAGCAGTGAGGTATCCCGCGCGCTGCTCAGTGAAAACAGATCCGAACGAGGCGGAGACCTTGATAGCGTGGGTTATTGTGGGATGACGATGATCTCGGGGGAGTTTGTATGCGGATGAGATACTCTGGCTGATTAGTATTATATTAGACCAGGGGAGCAGAGAAATGGCGATGAGAAAGCTACTCCGTAGGACATGCAGGCCAAAAGGACTCAGAAGTCAGAACTCAGGAGAGCTGGGGATGAGTAAAGTGGATGTGCCGGGTGGGTCAAAGGGGGCGCAGAGAGAAAGTCAACTTAGTCAAGAGTCAAACTACAGGTGCTAAGGCACTTCCGAAGGTGTAAGATATCTACCCAGTTCGGCATTAGCTTTCTGCATATGATTATCCAGAAGCCAGATGCAGATCAATGCGCTGCAAAAACCTTCTCAAAAAGAAACTCAAAAATTGAAGCGCTTTGAAAATGGAGGCATCACATCCAGCATGAGGTCAAGGCGCGTCCCTGGTGGAAGACTGAATTCTGCGCCATACAATGAAAATCAGCCCATACGCTGCAGGCTACAAATTCCAACGGATTTTATCTGATTTTATCTGATTTTATCTTTTGTTTTCGCGCTCCTTTTTTTCCCACTGTTGAGCGCAAAAAGCGATCACCAGTTCCAGAGCCTCGCATCTCTAGCTGAATCTCATCCTATCTGTGGGAGTTTGTTTTGCCTGGAAAATCATCAGACTCGGTGAATGGCTCTTCTCTGATCATGGCGAAGAAAAGATATTCCAACACCGGATGATCTAGTCATCGTTGTAATGGTGACGGCATAAGAATTACCCAGGGTGAGGCCATTCGTTAATTAGGTACTTTTACTCCAAGGTTCTTCTCCACGTGCCACATCCAATTGATAGTCCTGACAGCCACGCGAGGTGATCCGCAAGATTTCCAACAATCTACCTCTCAGAGGTAGTGTAGCTTTCTATCCGTGATGTCGCACCAGAATTTAATACGGAAGTATGTCGTAAGAGGTTGAACCTATTATTATTATAATAGACTCTACACTACAGTTATGATTTCATGATGAAACACATCTCTACCTTACTTCTTTCCACCCCCGGATATCGCTCTTAAGCCAGTGGATGAGATATCCACATGTAAATAGGTATATTCCATATGGTCTGTACTTGCCACAGTCAATAATGAAGCAAGCTTGATAGAAATGTATGATTTCAGTAACCCTGCAATGCAATTTGTCTGCCTTCAGTGTTACAATGCGGCCTGGCAATTCGCTATGTTCTATTTAGTGTATCCAGCACAGTGAGACAGCATGGAGGGATATGCAACGATTGTAGAGCACCTCTTGAATTGAAATTGAAGAAGTTCGGAGCAAGAACCAGTGTCTGATTATAATCGTTGAGACATTTTGTGTCAAAATGCCTGTAACCCAAGCGGTATTAAAGGCGGTCCATCATAATAACAGCAGTACCCGTGAATCTTGACCCCTCCGTTCAAATGGGGGAAAAAACATCTGATCCATCAACCTAGCTCAGGGAAAAGCCTCGCTAATAAATCGATCGCGCCTGGTTATTTACCGACGAAAAGCGGCGCATCATTGTCGAAGTTACTTACATTCCCTGCATGATCCACCGAAATGCCGAAACCCAAGGCTTTCTTGAAGGAATCTAAATCAAAGAAGAAAGCGGCGCAGCGGGTAGTTATATTCATGACCATATGCACCACAACCGTGCAACTGCTGATATCCAACAGGCACCAGAGACTGCTGATGAATTTCTAGCGGGTAGGTAATCTCGTGCCGTCCGCCGAGTACGGTCTAGTCCATTCATATTGTCGAATGTAACCCTAATTCATCTGACCTTGTCCAGCCGGAGTCGAACAGGAAGAGGGCGGGGAGAAGTGGCGTGCTGGCGATGCTGCCAAATCCTTGCGCTTTTTCATGCGGGCAATCGCAATTTATGATGAAGGCTTGCAAAAACATCCTCAGGCGTTCGACCTGGCTTATAATAAGTATGTCCGAACCTTCCGCTGAGTAGCTACGTCTCTTCCGTCAATATGCCCAACGGGAGAACCTATGTTTCTCTACTGACAGCTCTTAGAGCACGTCTCCAGTATGAAATCACTCAGCACCCTAAATTAGCTGCCCAATTACCTGCTCCATTGCTGGATGCCTTGCAGATAGCGTTACGATCGCATAGAGAGGCCCTCAATCTGGAACAAGACAACGCAGATGCACTCTTCAACACCGCGCAAGTGCTCACGAGTCTTGCAGAAGCAGCTACCGACACAAAACACCCATCCGACGAACAGCTCTCAGGAGCAATTAAGCTTCTTCAAGAGGCCATCGAACTTTTCCAACGATGTCTCGTGCTGCAAGAGATGCGGTACACCGAAATGCAAGAGCAATTGAAGCAGATGGAATCAGGGTATATGGGACCACCTGAGGAGGAATTGAAGCAGGCTCAAGAAACTATGGATAGTGCAGGCGAATCAGGTCCTTCAGAACCGCAAGAGCAATGGGCGGCAGTTATTGAGCCGGTGACCAAAAATACCCTCGTTGATACGGCCGTGGCGCAACTGGATACCCTCACTACACTCAGCAACCTGCTGACGTTTAATCCTGGAGTGGGACTTGCTTGGGTTGAAGAGTACTCTTGCGATCTCCTAGAGAAGATTCCAGTGTATCTCGAGGGGTCAGAAAGACAATATGAGGCATCTTTGGCTCGAGCCAAGTTTATATGCGCCTTGAACGAGCTGGTTTATCGCAGCGGAAGGATCGAGGTGGAGACATATCACAGAGAAATCATGCGTGCCTTTGGACCAGATTTGGACATCTCTGCCGATCCCGACGGCCTTTGCAGTAAAGCTGATGCGCTTACATCTTTCAACACTGCACTCACTGACCTCCCGCCTTCCCATGACGCCGAGGCTCTTGCGAAATCATTGGACTTGAGATGGCAATCGCTATCAACTGCACTGGACGCATTGACCAAAGCTTCGAAACTCCCTGACGCAAACAATCTGCCGAAGATTCATTTGGCCAGGGGAGACGTAGAGATGCATAGATGGAKGCTCGGACTGGCTCCATGGGAGTACGTCGTGGCGGAACAAAACACCTCAACACTACTGCAAAACGCTCAAACGTATTACCGAGGCGCTGCAGCACTGGCAAGAAGAGACGGAGCTATGGAGGAAACAAGAGATGGGACATGCAAAGAGGCGATCGCAGCCGCTCTGGGAGGCCAGAAGGATAAACTGGAACAGCTCAAGGCGGCCGCGCCTAAAGAGCTGACAGCCGTTGCTCAAGACATTGTGGACGACGGCCTGTTGGCTCCCGTGGATATGGAGGCTTTGTTGTCGTAAACAATCATACACCCATTCATGAATCAGAGTAAACTTTCGTCGCTTGTGCAAGGTGTTCAGTCACCTGGAGCCTGTTCATATCTCTGGCCTGGCCTTGACTTCTTCGTCCATCTTTAATGCCTCTTGGCGAAGGCCATTCTCCTTGCTGAAGTGCGAGGCTGCAGCCGCAGCACCTTCCACGTCAGCAACAATAGACTCGAGACTCAACAGTAGCCTTTCGATCTCCGCTCTCTGGCCTTGTATATGCTGGGCTAGCTCTGCGTTCTGAGCTTCGGTTGCCTGAATTCTCGCGTTCAAAGACGACTGGGTTTCTTGCAGGTAAGGTGTCAGATGCGCGCGATATAGTTCGTCCGGGGTTAATGTATGCGGACTATATCCAGTATCAAGTGGTTAGCAGACCAGTAACCCAAGAACAACCCATCAATCAGCAACAAGACATACGCTACACGACTTTCGCCTTGACCATTGTCCCTCCTATGCCTTGCCTCCCCGACCAGCCGATCGAGCTCATTCAGATGCCTCACTGCGTCACGTTCACGTATGATATCGTCAAATTCCGCCTTCGCGCTCTCCTCGAGCTTCGCGTTGAGTTGTCTCCATACTGATTCCAAACTAGCAGGGACATGTTTCGCAGGCGTCGGAAAGCACCCTGAAAAATTTGCGTATGAATTCGCGCGCAACGTTCGTGCGAGGGCCTGGCCGAAGACTTGCTGTAGACGCGACGCACGTGGGCCTGGTGTGAGTGGGACAGGAGCCGGAGGAGGCGGGGAGGGCGAAGCTGCTTGTCGTAGTTGATTGGCATTGGTGGATTGAGTATCTTCTGCCATTTTCGCTTCAAGGCGATTCTTCTTGTTGTGATCTTGCAGACAGATTGGTCCGTCTGGCGATGTTGATTGTGGGGTGTGGGACATTGGATCTACGAGGAAGGGGTACGTGATAAACACGTGACATTCATGTAGTATCCATGCGCCGTCCCGTCCGGTCCGACATAGATTTCTCTGTTCGCAGACAGGACCAGACATTGATTTATGGTATTTTTTTTTTTTTAAAAAAAAAAATCAATATAAAACTACAGAAACTATCCTGGGAACCATTACTATTTCAAAACAGGTTAACCCGTCAATGCCCGAGTGCTGTCGTTCCCATGAGAATGGAGCCTTCCGACGGCCCCATGTCCAGTGCTGATGTGTTGGGATGAACCTTTATGTACTGAATGTCGCGATTTGATTTTTGCAAAAGCCTCTTTGAACGCAGGCCACGAGATCGATATGTAGATGATACTATTCCAAAACCCTTGTAGTGGAAGGACGAAACTGGACGTATAATTCATGCCGAAGTTGACGTTGTGAGGATAGATCAACGCGTACAATCTGTTGATTGTGGAGGGTACCTATTCCAAGTATCAATATTAGTCAAACGTGCTACTCACACCATTGTTGATGATGCTGAACTGACCCATGTGACAAGCAGTGCGATGAAGAAAAGCATCGCATATTTGGTATAGGCCCAAGCGGCCGAGTTCACGTCTCTCGCCGTCGCGCGACGCTGAGCGTATGGGTCATGCTGGCTGCTTCTCAAAGTCCGCATTGGCACATTTTCGTCGTTGCCAGAGGCGCTGCCACCTTCAATGGTTACAGAGTAGGGCGAGTATGGGTTGAGGTATCGATGCGGTATATGGCTGGCACTCGTGATGGTCAATCGATTGGATTCACTTCCAGAATGTGTGATCTCGCTGGTGACATGTATCTCTGTCTTTTTGGAAAAAGCGGGCTCCATAGGACTGTCAATTTCGCCGCAAGAATCCGAACACCCAGCCTCCTCGAGTTGCCGTCGTTTTTCAAAAATCACTCTGCCAGCACGCAGATAGATGGCAAATGTCAAGAAAATGACGAACCAGACTGGACCATAGAAGACCGCAATGCGAAGGAAATCCCAGGGGAGCGAGACCCAGCACCAGAGCTGTTAAGCGACAACGAGTTAGAGAGTGACTCGGCACAGCACTGATTCCCCTACAACAATGTTGCACTTACTATGGCTGAGCCGTAAACCTTTCCTCGAGCCTCGGTTTCTATGAAGAAATAAACGAATGCCGGTATGAAGGGGAGGCCATAGCAGAATAGCACGTATTTCCACTCTAGTTGTCGCAGCTGTTCTGAGTTATATTTGTGGAAGAAGGTCAAGTAGACATTGCATGCCATCGCAAGAGTCCACAACGCATCAGCGGGCATGAACCTGCGACATGTGAACATCAACCATCAGCATATGAGCTATGAGCACCAGACACCGGGAATCTGGCCGAGCTACTGACCATTGAATCAGAAACGCCTGGAACTGACAAAGGCAGCTGCTTGTCCCGTAGGCGATGCCCGATTGAGAGATCATCGTGGCTACATTTGCCATGATATTTCCCCATGACGCATAAAATACAAGACGATTGATCGGCTTGCGAAAGGAGCTCGACGCGAGGAAAGAGATGATTATGATACTTGTTCCAGCGACAGAGATCGCAGAGCATATACGTTCTGTCGTCGATATGGCGAACAATTCTCGCTGTGAGAGCGTCATGACGCCAAGAACATGCTGATCAGACCGGCCACTATCCAAGGATCTTCGTCAGATTTATGCAAGGAATGGAAAATAGGAAAAAGGAATGAGAGGGGCAGTAAAGGAAGAAAAGATGGAAGAGAGTACAGTGATAGGTACGATCCAAGGTCTCATCAGAGTCCGTGGCACACTTAGGGCTGAAGGCGAATCGACTCTTTGGGAAACCTTGTCCGTAACTGTGTATGATATCAAGACTCTGTTTAGAGTTTATCGAATCAATATTAGACAGGTCCCTTCAGGATTCAGGACTCGGCCCTTGTGGATAATATAGCCACTGCTCGGCAGGGAGTCTAGTCTGCTCACATGCTCTTGTCGAAGGAAGACAAACCATGTTCGATACCTAATAATCAATTTCGAGGGCTACCAATGATAGCAGAAGGACTGCCTGTCGTCAGCGGAGCGGGAACAAAGCATGAAACGATTCGGTCTTCTAGATTTTCTTGAGTCGGCCAATCCCAAGTCAGAGATTCGGTGGCTAAGCTTAAGCTGCCTTTCTCATTCTTCTTCCATGTGGCCTAGTGGAGCATGGGAAATTTGCGGGGATGTTGATCCCCGAGTCTGTTCCCTGTACTTCTCGTATTAGATCTAGTGGTTTTATTCTAATGGACAGGAAATACGAACAGGATGATTCATCATTCAGACTCTGGCAAACCTAAATAGTCGCTCATAGAATCAACACAAGGAATTGGTCCTCAATTATCATAAGTAACTATGAATAAAGACTGCCTCCATGGGAATAAAAAGGGACGCAGAGCGAAACACAAAGGAAAAAGCAAATCCACCCTCGTCTTATGCATATCAAACCTCACAAGCATCTTTTAGCGAGGATGGAGGAAGAAGGCTGTGTACATTCATTCACCATCTTGGAACAAAGGTGTGAATTGACGATCAGTACCTAATACGTACTCCATAGTATCTCCCTCTGTAGTGGATCAGTCAATGCTTTATTTTAAGGTGAATCGAGCCGACGCCACACCTTTCTTTTCTACCTAATTGTGGTCCACCCAGCTGAACTTGAGAACAATGATGTTGGACTGATCCAGTTTTCTATTTGACAGTGGTAGAATAACCGGATTCTCTTAATCATGCAAGGGGTTCGCGAAACTTCGAAGCTATCAGAAACCACCTAACTGTCCGGTCATAGCGGTCTCTTTCTTCACCTTGTTTGCGGCGTCTACGTATCAGATCACAACTCGGAGCAAAAATAAGCGTATCTGTATACTTGTGCTTCAAAGATACCGCTTAGTACAGTACTTGAAAGATGGTAAATCTTTAAATAGAACACAAAACGCTATTCACAATGCCCTACAAGTCGGCTACCTTTGTCTCTTGCAAAAGCCAAACATGCATATCAAAACGTCAAAAGCTGCCAATATTAGCACCGATGTCCTTCCTCGGGTATAACGCCACTCTCCCCCATGTTGAACCTATGACCATCATCTCATTGTGCCCACTTTGGAAATATGAATTCAGCAGGAGTAAAAAGAGGTAAGAGGAGGCGATTTGATCGGGGGTTTCCCTGACACATTTAGTACGCCTGCTGTGGTGGGACCATCCCTCCGTAACCTCCAGCCATTTGTTGCTGTTGCTGTTGCTGTTGTTGTTGCTGCTGCTGCTGCAACTGAGCCTGTAATTGAGGTAGGTCATGGAACCAAGGGTGCTGCAGTGCGTCCGCTGCACTAATGCGCATCTCCGGCCGTAATTGAAGCATCCGATTCAGCAGATCGAGCCCAAGGGGGTCAATCTGAGGCAGAATAAGTCCCAGATCCTGTGTCGCATATACGTGGAAATTCGGCTTGTACTCCGGTAGCTGAGAGATACCGGGCCACGAACGCTCCGACGGTGTGCCCATCAGACGGAAGATCTTCTGCAATTGGTCCTCGTTGGTCGTCCCGGGGAACAGAGGACGGCCGGTGTACAATTCTGCCATGATACATCCGGCGGACCAGATATCAATGCTTGTGTTATACGTTCTGCTGCCCAGCAGCACGTCCGGAGCACGATACCACAGTGTCACCACTTCGTTGGAGAAGGTGTTAACAGGGATGCCGAAAGCACGGGCCAGACCGAAGTCGCCCAACTTGAGCTGACCCTTCTTATTAATGAGGAGATTCTGAGGCTTGAGGTCTCGATGGAGAACCCGGTTCTCATGACAAAAGGCGATGCCCTTGAGAAGCTGGTGCATAAATGACTTGATCGTGGCGTGGTCCAGCTGACCTCGGTCGCCTCGTGTATCCATGTACTTCTTCAGGTCTTTATCCATATATTCGAACACAAGCATGAGCTTGTTCTCCGTATGAATCACATCATAAAGTGAAACAATACTCTCATGCTTCAATTCCTTCATCAACGAGATCTCTCGAATGGCTGTCGATGGTGTTCCTTCCTCCGAATCAAGATGAATCTCCTTCAACGCCACCAGCTCGCCGGTCTGGCGGTTGCGTCCTTTAAAAACCTGCAAAGATTGAGTCAATATCGCTGGGAGAATTGAATGAGATGCGCAGGCGGGGAAACGGAAGGAGAATCGAACGTACGGTAGCATATGTACCTTCACCCAGCTAGAGACGAAGCACAAGTTAGTACTGGCCTCCCTTTACAATATTTCATCCGTCATAGAAGTGTCACACACCTTTTCCAGCTGCTGGAAAGAGCTGGGTTGCTGCGCCTTGTCCATCGTCTGGGAAGAGATGGTACCTCTATTTGTGACGGACGTCTGTTGGGTCGAGGCCTTTGGGCGTTGGTTACTGAAAAGAAAGGATTTGGGAGACACAAGGGTAGATACGATTTCAGAAAAAGAAGAAGGGTTGTTGTACTCTGAAMGAGAATCCCTTGCGGTTCTGGATGGGGTCCGATAGTCCATGCTCGGAGGTGATCTGATCGCAACTTGTTTGAACCAGCCCCGCGCGGCCTATCTTGGGATGGCAAATCGCGGGCGGTTGCTTATCCACCTGGGCGGCTCTATCAATAGGGACTCCAGCGCCTGTAACTGACCAATCTTCCATCTATATAATCGAATCTGAGAGATTTTCACTATTTTAAGTAAACATCTTTTATTTGTGACATTCGAAGGTGTTCTATATAGTTCTGGTTCCGTTGTGCTTTTTAACAAGAAACTGTTTCTGGGGTACATAGATGGCCCTAAGTGTTAATTATCTATAATCCTATGCATATATGAACCTGTTCTGAATATATCCAATGTACATGGCATACAGTTCTCGGCTCTATACGTTCATCCATAATTGAAATTGGGGAGCAGCGACACCACAGGAGGAAGAATCGCCTCGGACGGAAAGCTGCAACGGACATG